TAGCAATATGTGGTACGATACTCTCTCGTGATGCTCACAGCTTCCAGTCAGCTGTGCAATCATGAGGGTAAACAACCCATATACTTGCAGCCATTCCATACACATACAACCATCCTGCTTTACTTTCAGTACAGTATTAAATAAATTACCTGAGGTATTCAACACTTTATTATAAAATAGGCTTTGTGTTAGATGATTTTGCCCAACTATAGGCTAATGTAAGTGTTCTGAGTACATTTAAGGTAGGTTGAGGTTGGGCTAAGCTATGATGCTTGGTAGGTGAGGTGTATTAAATGCATTTTCTATTTAGGATATTTTCAACTTACAATGGGTTTATCTGGATGTAACTATCATAAGTGGAGAAAGCTGCACAAACTCATTAACAGCTGGAATTAATAACAATTTGTTCAAATAAATTTGGAAAATAAATTTCAAGTAAATTTCAAGATAAAATGTTTGTTTTACTTAAATATCTTAAACTCTGAGATCTCCTAGATTGTGAAATGCCTCTTCTTAAGAATAAACAGAAGCCCCATCTTTAAATCATTAAAAGTTAAAGAGGTCCTGCAAATTAATGTAAGGGGTTAGTAAGGGAGAAACTGGATGTAAATTATGTGAGAACTCTCTGTACTATCTTCTGAATTCTTCTGTAAATCTAAACCTGTTGTAAAAAGTAAAGAAATTGAGTCTATTTTTTAAGAGATGGTGCAAATAATATGCACTGATATGGATCCAATTATCAAGGGGGAAAAAGGAGAATTAATATTGAAAATATTTAACAACTGGAATTGCACAGGCACCAAGCAATCAGAGTGGCTGCTGACCACACATCCAGCTGAGCTGGTGTGTAGCAACTTAGTATCGGTTCAGGAAGAAAGCAAGGTGCAAAGCAGGGGTTTCCATTTGTGCAAAAAGCAGGGACAGAAAGGATGTGCGTGTGTGTTTATTTTTATATATTTGTATATGCACAGTTAGAAATATACATAAAAAGCTGATAACAGTGGTTGACTGACTCTAGAGAGGAACTGGGTAAATTCACCATGTAATTATTGTTTAAAGCAGGTCAATTTTGAGAGTAAAAGGGAGCATTATTAATAATTTTTCCAGAACAATAGGCATGAACTTGTACTGTACCGATAAGTCAGTATTTATGATCCCCATAGAACTGGGGCATGAGGGCTTGGAGGGTCAGGGTTTAGAGCAGGCTTACTTTTCCCTTTTTCATGAAATACATTGCTCTTAACCTCTTTTAAACTTTTTTAGAGTAAAAAGAGCCCTAGAAAATGGAATGAAATGAGAATGAGAGAATGTCAAAAAATTTTTAATCATTTTTGCTGGTCTATCGTTATCATAAAGAAAGAAATCTAGCTATTAAGATTAAGGGTGAATCTGGGTGTTGAAAATTTTATCTGATAAACTTATTAAGAGTTATAACAACTAAAAACCTCTAAAGCTAAGCAGTCAGTATAAGAGATTAAATAGCTGTAGAGTTCAAGCTATTGATTTACGAGACATATTAGTAAGTTCAGATGCTGTTACTGTTTCTTCAATGTGTCCCACGTAGGAACCTGTGGCTCTTTCTTTCCCTGTCTTTCAATATACAGTTGAAAGTTTCAGAGTGGGGGAAACCAAACTCAAACATCATAAACTCTATGATGTTATCCAGCAGTATGTTTGTTTCAGTCATATTAATTTAAAATTAAGATGCAACATTAATGATTGTAACTTCAGAATTTGGTCACCTGGAGAAATGATGTTATGTGACTAGTGAATTCGAAAAAAAAAAAATCGTGGTGGCAGACAATCCTTGGATGTATATTACATGCAATTCTTTATCTAAGAACTTTACATGCATTAACTCATTTAATCCTAATTAAAAAACAAAACCCGGTGAGAAATAGGTACTCATTATTCTCATTTTATAGGTAAAGAAAACTGAGTTTCAGAGAGGTTAAGTAATTTGCTTGATCACACAGCTAGTGAGTAGCAAAGTCAAGGCTGGAACCCAAGTCAATGATTTCAGAGACGTTGCTATTAACCATGATACTGCACCGCCTCCTGGTTTTTTTTTGTTGTTGTTGTTTGTTTTTGTTTTTTGTTTTTTGTTTTTGCGGTACGCGGGCCTCTCACTGTTGTGGCCTCTCCCGTTGTGGAGCACAGGCTCCGGACGCGCAGGCCCGGCGGCCATGGCTCACGGGCCCAGCCGCTCCGCGGCATGTGGGATCTTCCCAGACCAGGGCACGAACCCGTGTCCCCTGCATCGGCAGGCGGACTCTCAACCACTGCGCCACCAGGGAAGCCCTGCCTCCTGGTTTTGAGTTGGCATCTGGGACTTAAATTCCAAATCAACCACTTCCATATTTTCTAAACTAAAACCAGGGTGTGCAGTTTGACAATGTGTTAGTGTGTCTCATGGATTTCCCCCCATGAAATCCAAGTTGTGAAGTTGTTGTGACTAAATAAGATATCACTTAAATCCTTTAGTTTCTGTTTTGTCACCAATGCAGTGAGAGAGGTAGAATAGATAATTTCAAAGTCTTCACTTTCTTTATAAAAATAGGAAACCCTCCCAGGTTCCAGGCATTCTTTAAAGTGCCTTACAGATATTGATTTCTTTTAAAGCCCTATGACACGACTCTTTATTCCCTTAATAGAGGTGAGCAAACTGAGGCCCAGGGAGCTTATATACCTCACGTTACAGTAAAGAGCTGATCAGACTCAAAACCTGGCTCCCTAGTCGATGCTCTTAACCACTTTACTCTGCAGCCTCTTATCATTCTGGACTAAATTGTAGATCTAGGATATAAGTGACAAAATATAGAGTGAGTCTAGAATAAAAGATTCTTCCCTAGAGACAGACTTTCTTCCAGGTGGGGAGAAAATTTTTGTATTGATACTTTTTTATGCATCTTGTGTTCAGGTTTAAAGTCCTTTGCAGCTATGATCTCCCAGGAGGCACAGGGTAGGATCCGTCTTCACCTGTTCCCTCTGCCAGCACCCAAACTCTCCCTGGTTCTGCTGCCTTCCTGCCTGTTACCTCCGGGGATTACTTGAGGATTTGAGAAAATCATGGGGATAAAAAAAATGGTCAAAGGAGGCAAGGTAGAAAACAAGATATTTTCAGCAACTTGGATACAGGGTAGTAAATTAAAGAAGCAAAACCAAGCTGGAAATTGCTCCTTTCGCCTCATTTTCGCCTCCTGCCTAGGTTGCTTACCCCAGTCCTGAAAGACTATAGTTTGGTATGGAGAGAAACTCTTGCTGAAGGGACCATTTCTTTTAAAATCACCATTCACAGTATTCATCTCAGTGCCAACCTGAACAATTTCCCAAATATATTAGAATCCCGAGAGTTCTATACAAAGGGGAATGAGACAGTTTCTGGACTTTGGAGCCCGAGACAGACCTGAGTCTGCACCCCTGTCCTCACAGTTCCTGGCTGTGAGCCCCTGAATATGCTACTTAACGTTTCTAATAATAATTTCCTTACATTGAGCCCAGGCTGAGGGCCAGGCAGGCACTTTACAAATTCTATCTCTAACACACATGACAATTCTGGCAGATATGCTCTCTTATCCCCATTGTACAGATTGTGCAACTGAGGCCCTGCTAATCAACTAGGATTCCAACCAAGTTCCCATGCTCTTACGTGATGTCCTCCTGCAGTTTCAACCTCAATCCTCTTTCCTGTGACATGGAGTTAAATAATGTCATCATCCAAAAGAATGAGATGAGGCGACATAGATAACTTGCCTGGTTCAGAATCAAGCGCATGTGTTTACGTGCTAAACGGTGGTTCTTAGTATTAGGAAAGGAAGTAATACAGGGGCATGTAGCAGGGCCTGCTGTGCTACATGAGTTAAGAGGAGGGAGCAGTTCCTCCCAACCGGACAGGATCTGGTTTTGTAGTATCTGAGTGGGGCCTTGAGAGAAGAAATACGCTTAGCAATGACAGGTGAGGATAGGAAGTAAGAAAAAGTTTTCTAGGTGAATTTTAAGGCAAAAAAATGGAAACTGTTGTGGCTACCTGTGATTTTTTTTTTCTAAGCCTCAGATTTTCAAATATTCCTAAAAGAACTAGAAAAGTTCAACCTCTGGCTTTTGAGAGAAAAAGCAAACCCACCATGAATTCTTACAGGTTACATGGGATTATAGTCACAGAGAAAGGTGACTGCCCGCCCTCTTTACTAGGTTATACCCTAATTCTAGACCAGGGGGACAGAGACTGGAGAAACCAGCACCTGGAAATGAGATTTTCCAGCCTGTCCCTGCTCTTTCCTTGTCACCTTCCCTGTGCTCCAGACTATGCCCCTTGAAAACGAGCGCAGTCTGCCTGCTAGTCTGGTTCCAGTTGAATCATTTACACTCATATGTATCAATAAGTAGAAAAACTCATTTTATTGCTTGTGTATAAAACTGAGTGGGTTTTTCTGCCACATCTCCCTGTTAGGAAACAGATGGACCTTAAATATAGGTGGGAACAAGAACAGGCTTGCAAACACAAAATGTCAAATGTGGCTATGCTGTGTGAAGCATGCAGCCCAGATTTACAGAAGAGCTTGCTTTCATTTTTTAAATGCAGTTTCTATTTAAGAGACTCAGCTATAAAATATGGAAGAGGTCATCTGTTAGTCACGTTCATATTTTTTCAAGTTCAACAAAACACATAAATACCAAGTTCAGAGTAAATCCAACAAGAGAGTTAGAGAACCAGTGAGAGGAAAGGAGAAAATATAAGCTGTGACTTAACAACAACAAAAAAAAGCAAGTCAGTCTAAGACAACCAAAAAAAAAAGAAAAGTCTAAGTATCATAGCCCTCCCCCTTCAAGAAATTCTCACAACTTATTTTGCCACAGAGGAAGATAAATGTTACAATATCTCACAAACCAATCAGCGACGCTGCAGGCCTCAAACCAGGAAACCCTTCAAAGTGTAGTACTTTAAATTGTGCAAGTGAGACTTTGGGCTCTCAGTGAGTTTTTGTTCCCTGTGCTTGCAGGATGGGAAAGCGAATGTGAAGTCCCTCATGGCGAAGTTTAACACAGGGGGCAACCCCATGGAGGAGGTCTCGGGCAACAGCAGGCCCTTCAAGGTCCCGGGCCAAAACTCCCCTTCGGGAGTACAGGTCAAAAAGAACTTATTCAACAACCAAGGAAATGCCAGCCCTCCTGCAGGACCGAGCAATGTGCCCAGGTTTGGGTCCCCAAAGCCCCCTCTGGGGGTGAAACCTTCTTCTGAGGAAAAGCCTGACAAGGAGCCCAAACCTCCATTTCTAAAGCCGACCGGAGTGAATCCCAGGTTTGGACCACAGGCTAACTCGGCCACCAGAGACCCCGAGGTGAAACCGGGATTTCTGAAACCTGTAGGCCCCAAGCCCATCAACTTGCACAAAGAAGATTCCAAACCTGCAGTTCCCTGGCCTCCTGGGAATAAGCCTTCACTTCACAGTGTAAACCAAGACCATGACTTGAAGCCACCAGGCCCCAAGCCGGGGTCAAATCATCCAGCCCAGGAAAATGAACCGAAGCAAGTCTTCCCAAAGCTGGCTGGGGCTAAAGGCAAGTTTATGTCAGCCTCACAAGATCAGGACCCCACGCCCCTCTTCCCCAAACCTGTCTTTGGCCAGAAGCCATCCCTGAATACAGATGACCCCCAGGAAGACGAAAGCCCCACCAAGACTGTGGCTCAACAGAGAGGCCCCCCGGCCCCCTTGGGAGCCAAGGCCAAATCCGGCCCTTTGAAACCAGCCAGAGACGACCTAGAGAATAAAGAGCGTGGAGGCGAGACGTCAAGTTTTCCTTTTCCTGGAGTCGTTCTGAAACCTGCTGCAAGCAGAGGGTCCCCAGGCCTCTCCAAAAATGCTGAAGAGAAAAGAGAAGATAGGAAGGTGGATGCTGCTAAGAACGTCTTCCTGAGCCAAGTGAATCCGGAAGAGCCGGCCTCTGGGGCCCCTCCTGCCAAGTTCCTGAAGACACCTTCGAAGCGGACAACGGCAGGGCCCTGGGGCCCAAGTCAAGAAAAGGAAAAGGAGGACCAGAATTCAGCCACCCCCAAGCGGAAACCCCTGCCCTCCTTGTTTATCCTGGGCCCCCCTCCACAAAAGCCCAGCAGACCGCCGCACGTTGACTTGACGAAATTCTGGAAAGCCGCTTCTGGAAACAGTGAGTTCTTCTCTCATTTGCTATTTTGCGCATGTTTTTTTCCCAGCAGAGGGTGATCTAGCTTCCGGGGAAAATTTTGTAACAAGGAACCGATGCTGTCACCGGTACTCCTGTGTGTATGATGACTTTTGTTTGGCATTTTTTTCCTCTGCTGTGGGACGTCTGAGAAGGTTGAAATCCTTGGTTTTAGGTCGGCATTCTGTGAGGAAGTGCCTTGGGGGGCTGATTTGGGGGCGTGGGGAGAAATACATCCATTTGATTGCCAAGTGGTTTCGCTTAATGATAACCATTTCTTTTACTTCCTTTGTTGGGTTTCATTTCTGTTGAATGCGACTGAGGTGTGTTCCCTCTACTACCACAAAGGAGCTAGAAGGTGAGCAAACCTCTGAGTCAGTGGTGGATGCCCAGGGGACATTTGACTGTCACGGCTGGAGGGTGCTACTGGCGTCTAGCGGGTAGAGGCCAGGGATGCTGCTAAACATTCTACAATGCACAGAGCAGCCCCGCCCAACAAAGAATTATCCAGTTCAAAATGTCAATGGTACAGAGGTTGAGAAACCTTTTTCCAAATGATTTTAAATGTCCACAAATTTATCATAGGTCTCCTAAGCCCAATATTCAAATAAGAGATGCACGGGACTCTTGTGAAATGGTGCTTACTGTTTTATATTTCAACTGTTTTCTATTGCTCCGTCAGCAAAAAGTTTTCTGAACGTTTCTGATTCATAAAGTAGTACATAACTAAGATAATAAGCCAGACAAAGGGATACATTATTTTCCTCCTGGGTAAATAGTTTAATTTTCTACCAGAGATGTTACCACCATACTATGGCACATGCTAAAAGTTGATCCTGAATGACTTGGTAAAGATTTGTAACCCTCATAGTGATGAAAGAAGCTCATTTATGCTTGAAATGATTAATATTTTAGGCAAATAATGTACAACCGTTGTTTATTGTGAGAAAGGAAAAAGGATACTTACGAGTGACCACACCACAACTATATATATTTTTTACTTACGAAAGTGGATCTAATTAGTGCAGTTCTGGGTATAAAGGTAGTTCATTTTTATTTTGGCTCTGTAGAAGCATCTCACAGTGTCATCTTCCTGAGACCAATATTCTCGGTGTCAACCAACATGTTAGGAATCAAATCCCCCATTAATCCGTCTCGTAGAAAGCAAGTTTGGAATGACCCCGTGATCACCTTTCTTCTAGAAAGAGTTAGCCTGTTACACTTATTGTGTCCTCGTGTGTCACCTTCTCATTTTAATACTGGGCCATAACTCAGAAATGTTGTTTTTCTGAAACCTTCTAAAAAAGCCCTTTCTTAATTCCCTGTCATAGTTCTGCACCCCCGGTAAAAAATTAACTATCATAACCTCCATTTTACGGCTCTGAGTTCATGCCAAGGAAACTGTCCTGATGTGAAGCGGAAATCCTTGAGAGTTTTCTTCCACGTCTTCCATCTTTATTTACACTCCACTACCTGGTTTGAGTGGTAGTACCCAGATGGCTGCTGTTGTGCTGTTGAAATGCCTGTGAAGTCCTCTTTTGGCTCTGCAGTCCTGGCAAGGTCAGCCTTGAGCTGATTTTCAGTGCCGTATAGCTCCAAGAGACCCAGGCAAAACTGCTTAGGAAGCCAAGTTGATCCTTGTCCTCTTTTTCCTCCTTCTTGCAACCCTGTCTCCATCCTGACATGCCTCCCCCCTGCTCATATGCCCCATGACACAGTTTAGATTCGAAATCCTCTCATCAATGTACCCTACCTCCACCCTCTGATCCCTCGATATATATTATGCTTCAAAGTGGACCCTGTTCCTTCTTCATCCACCTCTTCCACAAATCAAAACTCAATCTTCTTAATTTGAACTGATGTCAGGTTGATGTCAGGATAAAGCAATCTGATTCATAACACCCCTTTACAGCATTCACAGTTTTTTTTAAAGCATTTACATTTTTAACTTATTTTTTAAATAGAAATTTACATCTGGCTCAAAAATGATATAGAGTAAAAAGTACTTTAGTCCGTCTCCACCATTTCCTGGGTCTTCTCAGCCTCTGCTTCACAGAAACCACTCTTCTTCATTTGTATATCTGTCCAAAGTTTCTTTGTGTTTACACAAGCAAATATAAATATAGATATTAATCTCCTTGCTTTTTACTCAATAAGTAAAATACTATATGCAATGCTTTGATCCTTGCTTTTTAAAAATAAAAATAAAATTCCTGTCTATCTTTCCACATTTTAATGAGGTTATTGAATATTCTTAAAAACTGCATGATATTCAGGTAAATGGATGACTCACTTAATTGATTTAACAATTTGTATTGTTTCCAAACTTTTGCTCTTCCAAACAGTGCTACAGAAAATAACCTTGTATATGTGTCACAAAATGAGCATTTACTTTCTGAACACAGAGAATTTCTTAATAATCAGGTCTGCTGACTCCTAATCCTACCATTGCTATTTTTCCTAAACCATACTAAGTAATTTAGTACTCCATTTAGAAAGGTTAAAAAAAATACCAGAACTTGAAAGTGTATAATAGCATTCAAATTAACTGAAGCTTCACCTAGTAACTCTGTAGGTTTTCAAAACTCTAGAACTTTTTTCTTAGGCTTCTACATGGTTCCTTCCTTTCCAGGTTCACATCTAATTCCTTAAACCTCTTCCCCAGATCTACCTTCCCTCTTTTATCATCTCTGTCCAATATATTAGCCATTAAGGGTGCTTATCATTTATTGAGGACTTGTTACATATTAGATACATGTTACCCCTGTTTATTCCTCCCAAGAAACCAACGAAATGGGAATTCAATGAGGAAATTAAAGCTCAGAGAGGTTAGGTGACTTGCCCAAGGCCATAATGTGACTAGGCAAAGACAGGGCTGGTCCTCCTGTCTCTCTGATTTCAGAGCCTGTGCCCCCCCTTGCCACCCTCCTTGCTATGGTCCCTCTCTTGAAACATAGGATATTATGAGATAATAAGTAAAGCATAAATGAAACCCAAAGAATCTTCATTCTTCTCCCTTTCTCTGTCCTTTGGTTAAAACACGTCATTTTTTTGTTTTACTATAAATACCACTATAAGCTCCATGTAAACAGAGGCCAGTCTGTTTAACATTATTTATTTGGAGCATAGAAATAATATATTCTTGTTGATTGCTCAGATTTGCCCTCCCACCGAAATCGTTTAATCAGAATTTAGTATTCATACTCTTTATAGCTTAGCAATTACTTTGAAAATGATTTGCTTTTCTGTCTAGATTCCCAAAGAAATCTGTCTTTAAGATTTAAAAACAGCCAAGATGTATCTGTGTCAATCATTTTATCACCAGTGTTTTCTGAGATGATGTTCCTCTTAGCTCTCAGATATTTTCTGTCCCATGTATAAGGAGGGCCCACCACTTCTTTTGATCCGGCTGATGGATGACAAACGCATCTACTCACTCTAATCCAGTGTGATAAATTTGTCTTCCCTTCAGAGCTGTGATTTGAGTTCTGAGTATTGCTTTTAATCCCCTCATTTGTAAAATGAAGGTTAGCTGTGCTGGTCTTGAGGGCAGTCCTTGCTGGGGACCTGAATGCTGTTCCATTTTCTGACATCTCGTTCAGAGCCCTGTACCAGGACAAGGCCAACCATGGCAGCTCATTCCCCCTTTGTCTCTGGGAAGGTCCTGTTGTGGTATGTAGGGCTTTTGTGCTATAGGTTTTGCCTTAACCTTCCCCCAGCTGTTCACCACCTCTGAGTCCACTTCTCCAACCTGGAGTGCATTAGGGAGAATCCACAGGTTTTCCTAGGATCACTGTCTGCCCCCCGTATTGCTTCTCAGCCCGGGGAACAAGTGGGAAGCTTCACTTGCCTCCTGTGGCACCAGACTCTTCTGTTTCTTCCCTTAGCCACTAATTTTTGAAGTTCATTTAATGCAATTATTTTCCTTTTCTTGTGCCATGGCTTCTAGTGAGTTTGGGATAATGTTTATCTTGCCTTATTTTGTTTTTCCTATTTTATTTGGGAATTGGAGGAGGGACATCCTGTAAGTCCCTCCCTCATTATTTAATACCAACTAAATATTTCAGTTATAATCCAGGAGTCAGCGGTATTTCCAAAGGGACCATAGGTTCACCCCTTCACAAGGCAGGCAGCAAGATGGCAGAAAGGAAACTCATGTGACTTTGAGTGCCCACTGAGAGCTGTGTTTCGTATCCTCTGGACTGTGCTCACTGGTTATGGACACTTGGATGACCACTCCCTATCCCCTTCCCAAGTCTCCTATTCTGAGGAGTCTTCAGGACGCAATCAAGAAGGGGCTAGGGAGAGATCCAGCCAACCCATGAGGGCTTCACTCAGACTGTTGATAGCATCTGACCTCCACTAACCTGCAAATCCCTGAGAGCAGTCATATTTTAAGCCTTTAACAGCTGATCAGTTTATACTTGGACTAAGAGAGGATTCGAATACTGACTATGCAGATGAGCCAGGAAAGGGAAAGGACCACTGAACTGACCCCTAGGGAAGGCAGATTCCCCCTCTTCAGGGCCACCGTCACCACTGAAAAGTCCCCTAAGCATACTGAGGTTCCTGGTTTCTTGCCGGGCGCTCAGTTGGGCCATCAAAATTCTTTCTTAATGGCCTGGGCATCAGCTAGTCTTTTAATATTAATTTTGACACGATAAACCACACTTATTATTTAATTTACAGGAAAAAGTTTCCTTACAGTGATATTCACCAGGCCTGTAAAACAGACTATTGTTTTCTTAACTATGAGAAGAGAAATTTCTGTAAACCCAATTTGGAGCAACATGCCGTGATTTACCATGATGTAATAATAACTCTTCCTGTGATCAAGAGGCTAGAAGTCGGTATATTTTTAAGCCACTTACAAAGGAAAATTTGGAAATATTGCCCAACCAACTGGCATTATATCAACGTTTGTAACACGCGCTAGATCAAAGAAGCTATGACCACTTGTAATATAAATGCATATTTTGTTTTACAGTGGCTGACTTACCCTTAAAGTATAAAATGCATATGAGATGATTTAATATATAAAAAATTTGATCAACAT